ACAAGGCCACAAACAGCCCATGTGAGGGTGTTTGTAGACCAGACAAAGCTTCTACCCATAACAAGCCAGATTCTTTCTCAAGGTTTATTCATAACATGTTACTGTTAACCAAAGTGTCTGTAATTTGTTTTGACTCTACTTTCCATAGTTGTAAGGGGGAACGAACGCTGCTCAGGCAGAATGCTGTGCCATAAGGGCTGTATGATGAACTGTTCTCTCTTTGCAAAGATATGAACAAAATGCTGACTGAGTGAAATCCATCGATCTCTGTTTATTTAACTAGGGAGAATAGTTGAATACTTTTTTTCCCCACTACAAGACACAACTTAAAGTCGAGTAAAATGCTTTGAAATAACCTTGAAAAAAAGACTGTGCTTTAAGAAAGTCCAATATGGCTGAATTAAAATATTTCTGTAAAATCCTCCACAGCATTGTAGAGAAACTACCAGTTACCTTAAACACTTTATGGAAGTTATCTCCCTAATTGGCAGAACCATTAGAATCGTAAATCATTTGCTTCTTCAGAGAGGACTGTTCTGAAAGCTTAAAAGTTTCATGATCTGAAGTATAACACCAATTCAAAAAAACAAACAAATGAAATCAATGAGGAGGCATCATGAGTTGGATCCATCCATAGAAGGCCTTTTCAGTCTTAAATAAAACCACAGATGTTTGTTGTCATGATTGGATTGACTTTATTTGTAAGGCACCAGAAGTCCTTCCTTACTGCAGAACAACTCATATTAGTCATAGTAATTATTTGTTGCACTTTTTTTTTTTTTTGGTTCAAATGAAGCTAAGCTTTCAAACACAAAACATGTTTTTTTTTGCCAAAGTACACAGTTTTTGTTTTGCATTATACACAAAATAAGTATTTAAAAAAAGACATTTACAGAGCTCAGAATGCAAACTATGTTTCAATCTATGAGGGCAGAAAGTCAGGGAGGAAAAGGAAGACCGAGGATGAACAAAAGTAGACAGAGGTCAAAAAGGTGAATGTTCTGCAGTTTTCCCCTCAGGTGTCACATCGCTTTTGTAACTGAACACCACAAGTATCATCCAAGACATACAAGAGAAGATGCAGCCATATACACATAAAGCTTTCTATGTATAACTGTATAGAGAGGTGAGCACCTCTAACTACTTGTACAAATACATAGTTTCATTTGTTTATAACACGGGCTTTGTAGTTCTCCCTCTAGGTTATATTGAGTACAATTCAAAATGAACAGAAACAAAAAATCATGTGCATTGATCACAAAGTTTCTTTAAAAAAAAAAAAAAAGGTATCTCCACTAGAACAAAATCAATGTTCCCTGCAGACATGCACCGATGTGTTTCGCTTTCTGTCTAAACATCTGCGCATCACTACAAGTGCAGGATGTAGCTAGATACAAGCAACATGTGAGGAGAACTTGCTGCAAGCTTAATTCACAAGCATGAAAAGCCATTTCAGTTGGTTTATCACTGACCACCAGATCTGTACACCTGTTTATACACAACGTGTTATGTATATACATAGATATACAAAAGCAGGTTAGATTTAACCTATCAAATGTTTACCTTTAAAGCATTTCTGACTTTGCTGGGTTTATTTAAATCTCCCATGTTCATGTAAATAATAAATTTTCATTGTTACGACTGCATCAAACATCAAGTGAGTCACTGTTTTTGTCAGCAAAATTTTTAGCTATAAAAATGTGCTAATCTTACCAGAAACCATCCTGTGGCTTCTGCAAAGACTGGAGATATAGTAACTGCTCGTGCTATTGAGCTACGAGAACAAAAAGAAGAATTTCTGCTGAACTTAAACTAAACTGAAATAACTGGGATTCTTGTCTCTTTATTAACTGCATCCAGCAAAGTTGAAGGGCCTTTGCAATCATTCAGAAGTGGATGAAATGTACTGGTATTTAACTCTTTAAAATCCTTTGGGAGAAAAAACAGGATTCATAACTGCAGAGTGTGCATGACTATTACAGGTTGTAACATCAACACTGCATTCAGGCAGAGCTCAAATCAGTACTTTGTTAAAAAAAATAAATAAAAATGATGTAAATCATTAATGATAAATGACTTTAAAAAAAATTTTACCCCTTTTTAATCTGCCAATTCAAATGAAAAAAAAAATATATTTTAATAAGGGTAAACCTTATTTAAATAAAAATAACCTGCTTGTCTGACTGTGCACTGCCTTAAAACATCATTGATAAAAACATCTACTAATAAGGATTCCGTCTTTTTGAATTTACATCTGTCATAAACTCCAGGCCATTTGTTTTGACAAGAAACATTTAGTTGGAATATCCTGATTTGCAATTTAGAAAGGTTGCAAAGGATCAATACTATATGCTGTTAAAGTATCAGTTGGAAATGGTACAAAAAGTCCATAATAGCATCACATGTACACCAAAGAAAGGCTTCAACAATTTTAGAAAACATGCAAAAACAGCAGATACATCTCAAACATTGTTTCTGTATTCTGGAACAGGTCAGATTCCCAAGAAGTCGACAGCAACATGCGCCAAGTGATTAAGAAATATAGTTACTAAAGTAAACACCATGAAGTCTGGACAGAAACCCTCAAAGACAAGTTGAAAACTTTCAACTGCTCCACCAAAATAAAATTCTGGCTTAAAAATTGAAATCTTGCTTCATCATCCAAAGACCACCGTACTAAGAGTGTATCAGAGGTGGTGGCAGCATCATGCTCTGGGTATTTTTAATCTTTCTTAGGTAAGCTCATTGAAATTTTGAACTGTTTAACATACCAGTGACTTTCAAGTCAAAACCTGAAGATAAAATAGGACTTTTTCTTCAGCGCACCAGTAGGTCCAACCAATCGTCCAAAGAACTTCAACAAAGTAGAGGCAAATATCACAGTGTTTAAATCTGACTTACTAAAACATTCCCTTAAAGAAGAATAAATGCTGGAATGGATTCAAATGATGCTTTAACGAAGAGTGGACACTTATTCTACCAGGTTACTGCATCTGTGTCCCTAAACAAGTTTGTCACAATCAGGAAAAAACTGAAATGATTAATCAGAAACTAAATTTGTTGATGGCAGAAAAACTGTCATTTTGACAGGTGTCTCCATCCGAATGTTGTCCAACAGATGCACATGATGGATTAGGAAGGGTTGGCTTTACTGCTTGTAATAAAGAATATTAATGAAATTGGTAAATTGCAACAGAATATTTTAATGTTATGAAAAGCTTTCTACTGAAAGATCTCTTTAAATGGCAAAAGCCCAAAGATATTTATCTTCTCATATCATGACTGCATTAACAGTCAGTAAACGTGTCTATTGTTTATGTAGATTTTATAACAAAATATATGCAAACCAAGGATTTTCAGACCAAAGGTTTGAGCTGACCAATGAGATGAAAATTCAGTTCAGTGCCAACCTAAAAACTTTAGAATAAATCAGCTATCCCAATGAGATACCGCCTGCTTACTGCTGTCCTCGTTTCCCACTAAAGCCTGGACCTAGCATGGACTGCCCTCTGCTGTCAAACACACACCAACCTCCCTCTTCAGGGTCTGATGGAAGCTGACAGCAGATAAATGAGGTTGTTTTAGGTATTTTTGTTCCAGTTTTAATTATCGTAGCATGAGATATGCAAAAAAAGCAACATGGAGAATAAATCTGATGTGCCAGAAAATGGGTACATTATTTTTAAATGGTTTCTTCAAATTTGAATTCAGCCAACTTTCGTTATAGTTCGCAGGACTTCTGTATTTTTGACTATTCCTGCTAAAAATATTATTTCATAGCATGACACCAACACCACTTTACATAAAAGTGCTACAAGGTGTTTATAGCTTTCATAATCTAATCCCTGCTTTAACTCCATGTTGACCATTCCCTCAAATCACTTTTGATCTTAATGCAGTCATGGTGGTGTGTGTCGCTCATTAATATCAGTTGATCAAGAACCAAATCAGCTGATAAAAGATCTTATTCCAAGCAATTTGATACCATTAAATGGGTCCCCAACACTTCCTACTTAACCCTTTGGTCTTTCTGATGCTGTTGGTTTGTTTGCCAAGAATCTCTTAGTTTTAAAGACCCAAGCGGACTTTGCTTACCAGTCAAGTGTTTTTTGTTTTTTTAAGGTAAAAGGTGTGCACTGGATTTTATTCGGGGGTATTAAGTGTCAAGAGAGCTGAACACAAAGGCACAATACATACCTTTTCAAATGATGATTTGCAAAAAATAAAAAAATAAACCAGTTATGCATCATTTTTCTTCTACCAATTGTGACATACTTCTTTGCATATCTCAGATGGACTGGGAGATTACCAACCAAATGTGATACTTTTCTTTTTACCCCTGAAAATACTAAAATACACTGATATATGTGGCTGTGACATGGAAAGACGCAACGAAGTTCAAGAGATGTTCAGAGATATTTTTATATGTTCTCTCGTATATCAGGATACCACAAAATAAAACAACTGCAGGAAGTTTTTCTTAAAAAAAGATAAAAGTCACATATTACAAAACACCAGCAATGCTTAGCTAGTAGGTTTTTGGACGATACACAAATATTAGGAAATGCCGCAATATGGATTTAAACTGTAATTTTAAACTGCCCACCCCCTTCTGTGACAATCAAATTAAACTCACAGTCCACATCAACCTTAGAACCAATCCATGCAATCTAAAAATTCCATAATATTGACCCACTTCATCATATTGATAATGTTGATCTTGTTTTAAGAGCCTGGACTTTGTGTTTTAGTGTTTATCAGGGAGTCCTAGTGTTTACCAGCTTCCCTGTTTCAACATTAACTGAGTGATTTAGTTGGACATATGGATAAGATCTGCTAAACAAGAACCAGTGCAGAGCAGCAGCAACAGGTTGCATGCAGTGTACTAAAGTAGAACAAAAAACAAACCAGAAAGTGGGGGGGGGGGGGGGGAATGAGGGATCCAAAATCCTAAAGGATGGTATGTCCTAAATGAAAAGGAAAAATGCACTTTAAACAAAAAGACTTAAAAAGCAACGATTAATGTAATTTTTATTTTTGTAATATGAGTGCCAAAGCTTTTCCCAGAGTGGGATAGGTTAGGGCTTTAAAGCTGGAACTGCATTCAAAAGATAGAACCTTGTGTTGGGTAAGGTCAAAAAGGAAGAAACCGGGGGGGGGGGGGCTGCAGGGACAGATCTAGGTATTCATGTCTCTGTGATAAAAGAGCTGGATGGAGACAGAATCTAATCAGACTTGTCGCCGTCCTCCTCACGGTGGCTGTCTACGCCGTCACGAGAAGCCTTCTCCTCCTTGGCCAGCTGGGCCTGGGAGGCCAGCAGAGAAGACAGTGAGAAGAGACCGGAGGAAGTGGTGACGGCTGGGAGTGTTGGCTGGCTCAGGCCCAGAGGCAGGGGGGTCATGGGCAGGGCCAGGCCCTGAAGCTGGGACAGCTGGTGAGCCTGGAGCTGCTGCTGCAAGGAACACAAGCAGACTAGTTAGGGCCAACACAGAACAACAGGAACATGCTGGCTACCAAAAACATTTCATGCTGAAGCTTATGGAGAATCCTGTTATTTCCTGAGGTAACGTGCTGATATTCTAGGATTTATAATATAATGCAACATAACCTCTGGTTATCTGAGCAGCTTTTAATAAAACCATCTAAAACACTGAACAAGTGTAGCAGCAGGGCACAGAAAACAAAAGAACACCATTAACACAGTTTTATTTATAGACAAACCTCCAAGCCTGTGTATTTTAATGAGTCTTAAGAGGCCGGGACCATGTGACACATTCAGTGTGCTCTTTTCATCAGTTCCGTCTAAACTTTCAACATCAGCTTCTTGTGGTCCAGTTCCAGTTTATATGGAGACTGCCGTGAACTTACCTTCTATTAGTTTATTCAAAAAGGACAAAATAAAGCCTTTAAAACAGCAAGCAGTCCTGAGCAAACAGGTACTGTTCAGGTCATAAACAGAGAAAACAAACACTAATAGTAAGGCACATCCTTTTTTTTTTCTTTTTTCCAACTTAGCACTTTTTGCTCTAGTGACGATTCTTGAGCAAGTCTACTGAGCAGAGGCATCATACTGATAATCGCCATACAGTTGGGGGGGTTAAATGCAAATAAGTCATCTAAAATGGTAAAATAATCTACAACAGTCTTAGGTGCTCCCTATTTCATTGTATTTTGGTACAAAGAAACAATATTAAAATATCACAGAGTGGCCTTGACCAACATCTTTAAAACTTTCTGAAGTTTTTATTTAAGTGCATTTTCACTTTCCTGCAATTTACCTGGCCAAATATAAGGAATGTTCATTAACCAGGCTGATTAATTTCAACTCATCAATCCTTAAATATATACAATTCATCTCAAACAGCAAGGATGAACTTGTGCCATGTTCACATAGAACCTCCCAAAGAACAAAACATTAAATGGGATCTTGAGGCACTTTGTTCACTTCAGCTGAACCCAAACAGTTAAACTGTGAAATTGGATTTAGCACCAACAGATGGACCTAAAAGTACTAAAAGGACCTAAAAGGACTCCTATCTATATAGACAGCAATTTTTAACATTATATCTTAATACAAACAGCCAAGTAGTCAAAAATATATTTTTTTAAATTTCCGTATAACATATTTAACCTTACAGCATCAAACATTCTAAGCAGTTTTTTTTTGCATGATTCCGCTTCTATTCCGACTACCTAGGAGATCAGCTCCTAATCTTTGCTGAAATATTTCCTCCACATATTCTCGATGAATCAGGCCTCTGTCTGGGTATATTCAAAACGTTAACATTAATAAAAAAAAAAAAATCAAATGAATAATTTTACCCTAAATCTGCTGGGGCTATAGATACTAGAAACAATATAATTCCCCTCTGGTAAAATCCTCTTAAGAAGATTATTAAACCAAAACAGTGTCTTCAATAAGAGGCTCTCCAGATGTGGTGCAAGACAGACTGTAGACAGGAGACCCTTCCTGCCTACAGCTATCAACACCTATAACAACTTATTGAAAAGATTCCCATGAGTTACTGCAACACTTATCTCTTTGGGATTCATACTTTTTTTTTTTTATTGAATAAAAAGTCATAAAAAATACTAACAACTTTACAGCAACCTTCCAAGCTCTAAGTCTATGTTCCGAATGCAGCTCTTAACTAGAAGCAAAGAGGCTAAGCACTTCTAGCATTTATTATCATGCTGCTGAGTTGGAAAGAGTATACATTGATTTATTTTATTTTTTTCGAATAATAGAAAAATGTGATCAAATAAAAGGGCAATAGACACAAGGAAAATCAATAATCATTTACACTTCTCTAGTCAGAATCCCACTCCTGAGTGGGACTGAGCGACTGGAGCGCCTTACCCTAATGATGGAGTTCATCTCTGGAGGGGTGACCTGCTTGGCCCGCTCTATGGCTGCCAGGACCTGCTGCTGGTGCTGCAGACAGAGTTTGTATTGATGTGGTGGGGTGGGCAGGGGGGAGGGAGGGGGAGCGAAGAAAGTAAGACAGACAATAACAGACAGAGAGGAACAACAGGAAGGCCAGTTTAGGGGGAGAAAGAGGTGAAAAGGTGAGATCAATATCAACTGTCCCAACAGACTCCCTGACAACCCTCCATGGTGATGCACTTCCCCCTCTGGACATTTAGCTATTCATCCAGCCATATATACACACACAAACATGCACACAGCCACAAAAAGCCTAGTGTGACACTGGTGAATGAATGGTTGACTGGTGTGCTATAATAGGTGGAGGTCAACCCCCTTGTGGGCAGATAAGAGCATGGCTTATCTGAATCACAACCATTTATTATACAGACACGTACACACACAACGACAGGAGGGGAGGGGGAATGAGAAGGGGGGCAGACAGCGGAGGAATGGAGGAAAGCCGAGAAGTGGAGGGGGGTTTAAAAATAAGGTTAGGGAAGGGAGGACTGGGAGGAAGGTTACAGATTAAATATGGCAGGGGAGAGCCGAGGTGAGGAGGCTAGGGCAGGCTGAGAGGGAGTGTGAGGTGGAAGTGAACACAGGCAGCCAAAGATGATGAATGACGGGAGGAGAAAAGTGGGATGCTGAGTGAGGGGTCGCAGAGGTGGGGAGGTAATGAGGCGGGGATGAAGGTGATCTCATTCCAGGATGTAAGGAATATTTCAGTGGGTCAGAGGGCTGCTGATGACTGTCTCCGTGTGTTGGTGAGGTGTGTGAGTGTGATAGAGAGATGCTGCTTACCTCCTGAGACAGGTAGGGGAGGACTTGTGCACAGATCCCATTCAGTCTCTTTACTATTTCAGCCTGGAGAGGAAAAAAGGAAGATTATTATTGTCTTTTTGCAGAAGCATAAAAATCTATGAAGATTCCAGCTGCATGTTAAGACCAATTGCTTCACATCTGCCTAAAGTTTCAATATAAATGGCAAATTTAGACTCTGGATTGTTGCTGGTGCAAGTTCTAGATAAATCCAGTCCAATTAGACCCATTAGTCCTCCATGATGATGAACACAGAATCACAATCAGTGTTTCACCATCCATCCATCCATCCATCCATCCATCCATCCATCCATCCATCCATCCATCCATCCATCCATCCATCCATCCATCCATGCGCTTTATATTAGGGTGCTTTCAGGTAAGGAAGGGCTCAACAACTATAAAACGGGCTTCTCTTTAGTTACCTGAGTTTTTGTTGATGGTATTTTGACACCATGACATTCAAAGCAGACACAAGCAAACTAGGGAGATTACTTCCCCTTTATCTGCTTTAATTTCAGTTCCTACCTCTTGCTCATGCTGGTTTACCATCACTGTCATAACCAAAGGTGGATTTTTGGTTCCTTATAGGTGTTTCAGTACTCTGCTAGGTCAGACATAAATCTTACTTCAATGGTAACATAGATACACATGCACTAAAGGACTCTTGGCTAAAAGCCTGGATAAACTACAAAACTAAACAGAAATAGGCTAGAATAGAAAGCAAAGCAACAAAAGACCTTTAACATGCCTTCAGGTTTAGAGTACATAAAGAAGCAGAGAGTGGTTTTAAAATGGCCAAAAGAAGTTAACGTGGCAAAGGCAGAGCAGAGGACAAAGTGGTGGAATCTGAAAGAGGAGGAAAACTGTGACTTTCAGAGAAGAGTCGAGACAGAATCTGGGTGGCAACGATGCACCTCCATGACTGGACAACTATAGTTAACACATTAGGGAGAAAGAAAGGAGTTCTCCATATATATTTTCTAGAAGGAAAGTTGACAGAGAGACTTGGTGGTAAAACAAGGAAGCACAGAGGTGAGCTCAGAGGACATCAGCTAGGAAGAAGTGGGACACTGAGAACTGCAGGGAGCTGCCAGTCAGGTTTCTCACCAGTGTATCTTAGCGTAGAGGGATGCTACATACAAAATTGTCCTCTCTACGCAAAAATTTAGCCTGCTACGCTTTGTACACATATCAGCCCTTTGACTGACATCTAGGCTCCTGCCCCAGGGCTCTGTCCAGCATATTTTAGCATAAACACTGGTTATGCTGAAGCTGTCAGTGACATTGAAATCAAGCTGATATATAGACTATCAATGAGCATGAAGGCCGCAGTTTTTAAAGACATTAACTTCCCTATTTGCACAACTCTTTATACTGTCATTAAAAAGCCCTAAAAACTGATAGGACCAAGTCACAGTAGGAATAATGTCCTAAAACATGCTGAATAGTAATTGTAGAACTGCGGAGATTAGGGAAAATCAGGGGAAAAAGGGTTTGTTAAGCCATTCGTCCAACCAATTAGAACGCCATAAACATGCTGCAGATTAAAAATCAAGAAACTATGAAACAGCAGCTGAAGGCAATCCCTATTTTTAAGTGAACTTCATATTTAGGTACACCTGTGGAAGAAATTTAAATTTTCTCTAAAGAAAATTGATATATTTTTGCAATATTGTCCAAATACTTGATTACTTGATTGAGTGACTTTTAGCTGTCTTGATCCTGCGTGTTGAACACAGTAAAACAAAAAATACCAGCAATCAATCATTTCTGCTCCTGATTAAATGCAAACTGCTTCAGAGTAAAGACGGACACACAGGAAACATTTGACATGATCTTCCCAAACATGGAGAAATATCCACAGCATCTCACATCTACGAATACAGAAGACATGTCTAAATCCATTCATTCACCTCATTAATTAAATTGCATGTACTCAAGCCTCTCCTCAGAACTCTTGGAAATGTGGGCAATTAGACACATGAACACAAAATAAAATTCGCAGACGCAGGCACACACCGACCCTTTCACCTCCAGCACATCCCCCCATCCTTCTTCAATGAAGGTTTATTATCACGTTTGGTTGGTAATCACCCAATCCGTCTGAGATATGCAAAGCAGCAGTAATTGTGTTAGAGCTTAATTCATAGCGGGATGAGGAGAGATGGGGGCCTCCTAGCAATCATTAGGCATGCAGAGCACAGCTCCCCATCAAGCGCTCGATTCCTATTCCGCTCGTCATTACACGTACAATCTCCCCCACATCTCTAAAACGTCTCTTTAAATCGTCTCTGCGGGACTCTGTGCCATCTTCGGAGCTTCCTCTTTTCAGCGCCCTTTGTACTCCCTAGATTTTTGTTGTTTTTTTTTTTCCCTGCTATGCTTCTGTTTTCTTGCCTCATCGATTCCCTCAGGCCTCTCCTTCATAAATTTCTCTCCGACTGCTGCTTTCTCTTGAATTGCATCTTTTTAGTGTTCCTTTAGCTCTATTAGAGCATTTAATTACCAAGAAGGCTTTGTTCTGAGATAAGAAAAGCTAAAACAATGTTTTATAGCAACTCATAACTGGACAATTTGTCATAAATTATTTTTCTCCTTACATGGTAACAGTTGTTGGATCTGCTTCTGTCATTCACTGAGGTTTCAGTCATTTTAAATGACTTAATCTTTAGTCATTTTGAAGCTGAAGAGGAGAAAAACAATATGCTGAAGCTGATCTAAAAAGTGTTTAAAGGAAATGAGTAAGACAGCCATGACATTTGTAACACTAAACAGACTTCCGCTGTTTTCTGGTTTCATCTTCAGAAGACCTTCAATATTTGAAGCATGTGGAACCCCTTCCAGCCAGATGGAAATAGATAAGTCATCTATTTTCATCATCATCATTCTAAAATGGAAACTCAAAATGATCCCTCCTCTGCTATTCTAAATACCAGAGCTAAATTCAAAACAGATGCATGTCACTAAATTCTTTATGAAAGAGATTTTTAAATTTACAGCATTTCAGGAGGCACTGCCGTACTGTACTTCAAACAAGTATTGCAGACCTTTACCAACATGGTTTTATACAATAAAAAAGAAAATATTTAATGTTTTAAAACATTCAAAGTTAATCTTAATGTCCACTTTACACCATTTCAAAGTCTGCATGGTTCTTAAACGCTTACTCAGGTAAAATTCCGAATGTGGAGAGTTGCTGTTGTTGCAGAGGATGTTGCTCTGCCTCTGAGATCCAGACATCACAGCAATATTTGTAAGAAAACTAAGTAATTCCCTGCTTATCTTGGGTTCTCACCACTAGCAGAAAGGTTTAAGAAATTACATATTATGCAATAAAGTATGATAAACAGAAGTGAACAGGTGCACGTTTCTAGAAATCCACTGCAAATGAACTAAAAAACAAAAATGCAACAAGCCACACTAATAACTAAAATGTAAGTTACTGTAAAGCATAGCGGAGCCTATCATCATCCAAAACAGAACATAACGGTTAACTATCTCACATGTCTATTTCTCGGATCCAGCAATGTGGCAAGAGCGTACAGGGGTTTGGCTCCACACTGCTGGATGGTTTGTGAACAGCTTGTAGCAGGGTTGTTTTCATTGTTCTAATGTCCTTAGCCAATATGCGCTTGAGCACTGTGATGGCTGGAATAAATACGCAACTGGGTAATGTTTAAAATGTCCCACAATCTTCCAGCAGCGTGCGCAATGGTATCACTCACACTCTGTGACAGTCCCTCACTGACTACTGGCTGCAGGGTATGAAGCAAAGCAGCCCAAGCTGCACACTCCCACAGTGTTCATGGCTTATTTAATGTTACTGATGATAAACCTTATGTGAACTTTTGTCAATGAAATTAGCTACAGATCAAGCTTTTCCTTTATAGCAGCCAAAATAATCTCCAAGGTTAGCCTGATAAACCAGACTAAATGTGAGATTAAATGTGTAATTTAGTCTGGCCCCGATGAATGAGACATTGGAAGATTGTTGATAAGAACAACCTGTTGTTTTTCAAACCGCTGTCTGTGCCTATTGGCCAACGCTCTGACCAATGAGTGCAACTAATTGACTGTGACGTAGTAAGCACAACAGAAAGCTGGTGGGGGAGTATAAACAAACAGCCTGTCGGTAAAACGTTGAATACTTCCTTCTCAAAAATTAATGAGCTTAGAGACTCTTTCTGCTCAGGTTTCAATGAAAACCCAAAGTCTAATCTTTCCAAAACTGATTCCAAAGCAGAGTCAAAAATCGCCATCAGAGCCAGCGGTGCTTCATACACAACTATGCTGAGAGAGGACCGCTGCAGACAGTCTGCGGTTCGCCCTGGCTGCCCTTAGCCTCGGAGGTCCGCTGGTTGCCACGGTCCTCTCAACTATGGAAATAGTTTTTTAAATGATGCATTAAATCGATAAATGGACAATATGGTGAAGCTTTAAAGTATAATAGTCTCGCCTCAAATGATCTTAAAACTTACTTCTATTAAACATCAGCAACTGAAAAGAGAACTTAATTTTCAATGGAGCGTTCCATTGAAAGCTGCTGCTGCTGCAGTGCAGGCTACTGTTCAATAGTTGCTGCCATCTTCCTTGTTGTGCTTTCTCCAGCGTTGCGCAGCTTTGTCGCCACGTCCTCAAAACCCCGCCCGCTTTGCATCCAGGAATTCAAAACACATCTCTTTGTTGTGATTGGCCCGGCAGTTCTAGGGCCTGGGGCATTGATCGAGGCTAATCCAAATCCGCAGGCAAAAATGATTTTGGCCGCTGGCGGTTGGGGCTAGTTTACTAGGCTACTCCAAGGTGTGATGCGTGGAAGATTTTCATCTGGAGTATTGTGCTGTGAGGTGAATAACTTTCGTCTGTTAGCAAACAGTAAACATTAACCCATTTAGGCCGGGAAAGCATTACCGCATTTCTACCATTCAAGCCGGGGGCGCTGTTGCGTCATTCTACCATTGACGCCGGGAGAGCATATAAGTCAAGCAAGAAGAAAGAAGTTTTTTTCAAGCAAACATGGAGGAGTTTGACAGAGAAGAGTTGTCGGAAGGCAGTGATTTTGAGGAGTGTGTCGGCTTTGATGACGGTATAGATGAAAATGATGACTTTGAACGCGCTGAACCAATCGAACTACCACCGCAATGCACGGAGTGTTTTCAACCGCACACCTGGAGTGAAAGTTGATTTGCCTGCAGACGCCACACCGCTGCAGGCATTTGAGCATATTTTTAATGAAGAACTTTGGATGCATCTTGTTACCGAGACGAATAGGTACAGTGACCAAACAAACCAAACTCCAACAAGAGCAAAGATGGCAAAGTGGTCACCCGTGACTGTGACGGAGATGAAGACATTTATTGGGCTGTGTATGTAAACCTCTCTTCAGGACGCAGTTCCCCCAAAATATGTCCCGGGACAGATTTGTGGCCATCTGGAGGTAAGTTGTAAGCAATTTATAACACAGACATATGCATTATTATGCATAATAATACTGTTAATAAGTAATCATCAGATAGTTATTTATGTAATGTTTGTTCTTTATTTTGAAAACGTTTTATATTGCACATTCTCAATGAAGACATCATCACATATGGAAAAAATAAAAGGTTGAATTTTTTTTTTGATTACTGCTTTTCACATTTTTTTTTTTTGGAAGAATTTCAAAGATAAAATATATTTTGAGTTCTATCTGCTACAGAAGCTGAGATATCAATAATTTAGGCGTTGACACAGTTGCTGAATTTACAGAAAAACTTCAGGTTTTAGGGGTATTTTTTAAAATCGGCCATAGGTTTTTAAGGTGTTTTTTCCAGGCGTTTTAGGCCTAAATGGGTTAAAGTCTAATGTCTGAGAGCTCCAGATGTCTGTGGTGAAGCTCATTGGCGTTACACCCTTCTCTTCGATATACGTTGCAACTTTATTGTACAGTTCAGGGCAGAGCGGTCTCAGAAAAAATATTTTAGAGATGGTTAGTTGTGCCTTGGTTCAAGATGTTCAAGTAGGCAACAGAATCCTTTATTATCAACAACAGAGAATTGCTGCAAATCCAAAATAAACCTCATAACCTTCTCTGTTATGTCTGTTCCCTAAATGCAGCCGGTCAGCAGCTTCTCCCATCTGTGCAATGCTTCCACCAAAGTTATCTGCTTTGTTATAGTAGCCGGCTACACTCCAAGCTTGGGATGCTATTTCGGATGGTGCTTTTGAAGGTGTTAATGTAAGTTTCAGGTTTTGAATTTATTTATCTTTATCACAACCTTCTCTATTTTTGTGCTTGAACTGTAACAAAAGAGCAGACCTGGTCTGGTGCTTGCACCATGTTGCTGTGTTTCTTTAAAATCACCAGCTGCTGTGCGTGATGACGGCGCTAAGCACTGCTGATGTTAACATTAGGGCTGCAACTAACGATTATTTTAAAAATCGATGAATCGGACGATTATTTTTTCGATTAATCGATGAATCGGACAAAAAATATTTTTTATATTAACCTCTTTATTCCAAAATAAATATTTTAGACAGAACAAACAAGCACACAAGTACAGGATGCTCATTAACTGTACTGGTCCAATATGAAAAATAAATGTTTGTGTTAAAACTACGCAAACTTACATGAGAAATGTAGCTGTACATCCACAAAATATAGGCTACTTTGATTCATCAGCGCATCAGCGCAAAAAAAGCCCCTAAGGGGTTCAAACAATAGGCCCCCCCATTTCAACAAATTAGTTTTTTTTTTAGACTAGAGGAGTTCTGCCTTTTAAGACAGGAAAGTATAGCAGTTAAAGTTGCTACTTGAGAAAATACTGAACCATAGAGATAAAAATAGCCCTGTGATTCAAATTATAAATTGTATTTGGAATAAAAATGAGAGAACTAGGGGTGCTAAAAAAAACACATCCTCCAAAGACAGATATTTACATGGGAATGTGGCATATAATTAATTGACATATTACTGATCTTGCTGGATTTTATTCTGCTTTACTTCCATAAATTGCAGGATCTTCTTTACTTTATCTTTGCCAGAAGATTTAAACTTTAAAAGCCTTGCCCTGATAATTTGCAAGTTAATTTATTTATAAAGTAAATGTAAACGCTGCTTAAGCTAATTCAAATGAAATTAAAAGTAAAATAAGTAGCCAACCTTATCACTGTCTGTAACCTACTAACACGGTAAGGAAAGCATCAGATGAGCTACCTGAGAAACTAACGTAACGTTTCCCCACTTTAAAACCAAACAAACATGGTGGTTCCGTGCCATGTTCATTTCTTTTGAAAAAAGTTGCATGTAATCACTTTTTTCGCTTTACAAAGCGCAGGCTATTTTAATTATTGTGATCAATTTGCGCCGTCAATCCCGGTGCATGCGCGCTTCATTTGCAGTCTGGACGCTGAGGCTCTGACTGCAGCGCTGAGAGGGACTCCTGCGGGAAAACGCGGTTGGGGTGGGGGAGGCGCCCCACGGCAGAGTAGGAACGATACATGCTTTCACTAAGAGTCTCCAAAAGCCGCCAAAGACACCGAAAAAAGTCGCCAGATTTGTCGCTAGTCGCCTTTTTGAAAAATAGTCGCTGGAGGGGTCTGAAAAGTCGCTGAGTAGGCAACACTGCACCTGCGGCGCTGACTCGCTCTGCCATATTTTTTTTTCTTCCTCTTTCAGTCAAGAGGCAGTGATGACGGCGCGGCGGATGACGCAATAATCGCGCGGCACAACTAATCGATGATGAAATTCGTTGCCAACGCTTTTAAAAGTCGATTTTTATCGATTTTATCGATTCGTTGTTGCAGCCCTAGTTAACATCGAATTGTAGTAAACAAAAACACTTCAACTTTATTGCCGCGTATGATATTAACAAAAAAAATATATATACATATTTTTGAAAAGCTGGTTCAGTGTAATTCATGTGATATCCGATTCAGCTAATTAGTCAATATCGCAGTCATTACTGAGTATCGGATCAGTGCATCTCTAGTCTAAACCCTGGAACAATCAAATATAATAAAATAAACGTCTCTCTCATTCATTGAAATGGGAAAAAGAAACAAAGGCAGAGAAAGATTTCTATCAAAGTTCCAGTTTAATTTCTAGCTCAACTCGACCTATTCTCTCCAAAAAGAAAATGTTCAAAGGAAACAGAGCAAAAAAAGCAAAAAGCCTGGAGAGGCATATTTTGAATTGAGAAGTGATTGAGAGGGCACAACTCCAGACAACACACAATGTATGAGAAAGAAAGAAAAGGAGAGAAATAGAGATGGAGAGAGGAGAATGAGGAGGAGGAGAGAGGGGAGACTGGCTCTGCACAATAGGCCCAGACATGAATGCTCCTCGACACTCGTTTCCACACATCCCCTTCAATTTCAACGCTCTAATGGAACTAGCCATTCGCTGCACCCACTCTCACTGGGCACAAAGAAACTACGCACACAGACACACGCACACACACCTAAACAGGGAAACACATACACAATAACACTCAGATATTCTTGAACACGTGCCAGAAATACACATAAATTGAGGCACCGATTAAAGAGGGCACCCTTTCAGAAACACGCATGCAAGCTAAAACTTGTACTTGCAGCAACATCCCACACATCCATTTAAAATTTTAATTTAGAGATAGCCAATGCAAAACCACAAGAACAAATAGACAATTTCACATGCACAAAGTGACTAATGGACACATGCACAAACACACAAGAAAAGCTTGACCCAACTTGTGCTTGTGAATTCTAGCCAAGACATTGGACACAGCTCTGTTTGCTAGTGTGCATGGGTGTGTGTATGAGACCAGCATGCACCAGTTTCCATCTTAGGCTTCCAGCATCTGAGTTTGTGAAGATGCATAAATGTGAAGCTCTTTAAATCATGGAAGCTGCTACTTTCTCCGTGTGTGTGAGTCCATTTGTCAAAACGTGCTGGATTCTGCCAATAAGCTTGTCAGTGTGCTCAATCAGTCATAGGGATTGTGTGCGTTTGTGTGTGTGTGCAGCTGGAGACGAGGTCACTGATAAGGGCTGGCCCTTTGGAGGCCCATCACTCACTCCCACCTACAGGTTGAGCATAAATTACTCCTCCAGTTGGGGCCGAATAAACCGATGCATGAACATCATCTTCTCTTTCCTTCCAGCCTAAATCAGGCTTCATCCACAGTTTTAAAAGGTGTGGACACTCATACCAAGTACAAGGAAAGCAAGTCATTCTATTACACAATAGCCACAACTTTAATGCAAAAGCACAGTTAAATTCAAAATAAACTCACCTGTTTGTGCATCTCAATATTGAGCCCATAGGACATCTCGTAGTACTAAAGAGGAAATGAGAAATAAAAAAAGAAAAAGCTATGAAGTTCACAAGCAATAAATCAGGTAATCTTTTGAGCACATCAAACAATTTAATGCAACAACTAAGTGCTCAAATAAATTAGGCTGATAGGCATTGACAGTGAACATGTTTAAAGTTTAAACTGCAGAGCAGTTGTTATAATTAATAATATCCATAATAGCCCCTCTTCCAAGGAGAGCCCGGGGATTTGAAGTCACAGGATTTCTATTTCCCAAGTAATGGAAATGCCTTCTAATTCTTCAGCATAATTTCCTAATACCTTAAAGTAAGACTTACAGAAACTGCACTACACCTTCAGTCCAACAGGTGGTGGTAATAAGTGGTGGAGGTAATAAGCAACTAGTTCTCCCTTTACCTCCTCCTTCCATCCCTAAGCTTAAAAAGTCTGACAGCATCTGGCAACACATTATGACTGCATGCTTCCTTTTGAAATAACCAATAAGAACAGATTAACACAGTTATTTATTTTATTAGTTATCTTTGTTATTATAAGTTAAATCTCAGCTCAATCAAAAAACCTGTTCAGTCAAAATGTCATTTAATAAAGTAAATCCACATGTAAAAGCAATGAATATATTGACTTTATAATTTTAAGCATATATTCATATCCACTAGAAGCTGTAGAAGAATCCCCACAAGCCAATAGACACCCAACTCGTAATCTCCACATGCAGTGGTGTCAGCATGCAAATGTGAAAACTAAGGGAAACTATGTATATTTATACACATGCATATAAAGGTAAAATAGGTTCAGACCAAAAACTCAGTCTAAGGATTAAGATAATTTTACCTTTGTTTCTACAAGAAAAAGTGAAAGTACTTTGTCAGGTCATTACCAAGATATATTTTCTATGGCAAATAAGTTTATAATACCTACATTAACCTAAAACATTATAACACATACCTTTTGAAGGCTTTAAAGTGGGCGTACACTTCTATTTCTTTGCCTTTTTTGGGAGGATTTCATAGTCGTGTGAAATAGTTGTTTTTTTTTGGGGGGGGGGGGGGGGGGGGGGGATTGAGCCCAATTAGAGCTTCATGGTGTATCCTGTGTAGTGTAATATACAGGGGGTAATGAGGGACTCTCACAAACACCTTCCAATCGGTAATCACACCGTCAAATGAAAATCAACTGTATCCTGCTGCTGAAGCAGAGCTACGAGCACAGATTACCTCTACCTATCTTTCCTACCTCCATCTCGCGCATTCAGCATGGAAATGCTACCAAGGCTTTAAAATCCCCAGGCTTTAGAGTGGCAGTGAATTAGGCTAATGGTTGTACTGGCACATTTGGTATGTTAGGTTATAAGAATGCCATAAAGGATATGCATGCTTGTACCAGTTTTTTTGGGGGAAAAAACTTGCAGAAAAGAAAGTCTGTATTCATATTCTTAAATATAATACCTAATGTTGGCGCCTTTGGTTGAAATAACCTCAATTGAAGCATTCATGCAGCTATTTCATAGCCTATAACATCACCACTCCACAGCATCTCAAGAGGACAAGTATGACGATGGTCCGTCGGTTTAGTTTTGATGATAATTTTGTGTTTTTGGAGACCTTTTTTCTTTACATTTTTGAGTCTACTTTTAGGTTAAAGCTGCTTTGGAAGCAGGATGGGTATGTTGGCAGCTGTTTTGAATATCCTTCACCCGAAGACCTGTACTGCACTTAGGAACTATTTTGAGATATCTTTAAAGCTACTACAGCTTTGTTTCTTCAGGTCTGTGGAAAGACTTAACATCTTCAATGTAGCTGTGTAACAATGTTCTAAACAAGGCAGCAGATGTGATGTACCGATTTGCAGTTTCAGACGCTTTAAGTTGGGAAAAATTTGGAGTCTCCAAATGTATTTCTTCACAGAAAAAATTTTACCATCTATTTTTATACAAATTTAAATTCTTGGTATTATTCAAATATGTATTACATATCCATACACCAAGCTATTTTTAAAACACTTTTATTTTTTCATACACATCTCTTGATAGTATTGCCAAGGGAATCAAAATCCTGACAGGAATGACATCACTGTAAAATACTTAACATATATCATTATACAGAAAATATATAATCAAAAGATATGTCACCATAAAAGGTTCTATACAGAACAGGACTTGTTTCAAATCTTTATGTTCAACATAAAAAAAAATTAAATACTACAAGCATATTTAGAGGAGAAAAAAAGAGCTGAGAAACAAAAGCAGGCAGCAGAAAAAGAGCCTCTTTTGTGTGAAACTGTATGTGCGTTCAGTGTTAATGAGAGGGCCACCTTCCAGGCGTCAACCCTGTTAATCACCCACTCTGTCTGCAGGGGTCTGCTTATGTCACTGGAAAACAAACAACACACTTCCTTCTCTCATGCAGACACACACACACTGATGTACCTCAATTGCCCTTTCACACGTGCACCATTGTCGTTTTCTGTGCAATCTCATGCTGACAGGGTCTTGTGTACCAATGCAAGTACACACACACTGATCTCAATACACACCCACACAGAGACACACTGTATTCTGCGTAGCTGCCCACGCGGAAGCTCCCTAAAGTAATTACAGCACTGGGGAAATGGAGGTGCTGCCATTGGATGGGGGGAGTGGGGCAACCTGATATGCTATTAGAGGAGGAGAGGGGAGGTCGCCTTGGGGATACAAGAATGGGCCTGCCACTGATGGATTGAAGGGGTGTTTGGGTGGCATTCTGAAATATTGCATTTCCAGTTTCATTTCTATATAAACAGTTGGAGCTAGGAATTAGGAAGATGGTTCAGGACAGATCTGTATCCAAAAACTGTCTTAACCAACAACACGTTCTGTTTAAAGTTCTGATCCATCCCCAAAGCAAGATAAACGTTTTAGATCCTGCAAAGACAGAAATGCTGCAGGAAGCAAACGTTATCCAGCCATAGCTCTTGGATTCCACAAAGTGGGAGCGTGCGTGCATCCCATCCACTCCCTCCCTACCTGTTTACAGTGGTCAACATGTTCAACTAGTAAAAAAAAGCACATATGTTACTTTCCCATTTAAATTAACTTTGGGATCAATAAAGTATAAAGTAAGTAAAGATTTTACGCGCACAGATTCAGATTTGATGGTGGCAGAGGCTATGCATACAAAGCATAAATTGGCTTTTAAGCATAATTTTAATCCAGAGTAAAAAAGAAGAAGAAGAAAAGTCAGGGTAATTTTCTTCGGTTTGGCTAAAGACACATTTAAGCTGTCTAAAGGCTGAAAATGTTTCATCAATAATAAATGACCAATAATTACTGATCGTACAAGGTAGAACAGAATACACAAACCATCTTTCTTGTGGCTATGTGCTGTATGGAAGACTGATAATGAGTACTGTACAATAAACTGTATGTACTCATGTGTGCTTAAGAGACACAGCAAATGCATCTGCATTTTGTGTCTCTGTTGGCCTGCTGATGATGGAGGGATCAGCGCAGCAGCAAAGATTAGACAAGATTAAAGCTAGTCGGAGGATCAATTAGAGGCAAAACATCAGATGGCAACACAGCTATGGCTAGCAACAATGAGATTAGCCCGGAGGTGGAGCAGAGAGCAAGCAAGCACATCTCGGTTTGTGAGTAAACCTGTTTGTGTCTGGGTGTGTGTGCGGCGAGACAAAGACGGGAGGAGATGTACTCAGGGGAAATGAAAGGATTTGATGAGAAATGACTAACCCTCAATTAGATACACATTTTACCCTGAAAATTACAAGCACTGACCGGTGACGTAAATAGAAGTGATTATTTCATTCCAACAGTCTTCCACAGAGCGGTGGAAACAGTATAAGGCTATAAGTGAACACTTGGTATTGGATGTTTGGTAAAGGGATAAATACAGTGAAAATATCCTAATTTGGAAAAGTCTAACCCGTGTCTGTAAAAACAGGAATATATGCTGCAGCTCTAGTGAAAAGTCGTTCCTAAATGGAAAGACGGCCATCAGCAGTTGCTAAAGCAAGGGATACTAGTGAACCAGAAAATCAATGATTGATACTATTTAATAATTGAAGTCTAGACCAAGGAAAATTATTTCCCATCTATAATCTAAGCCATTATGTGGTAAAGTGATTGGCTCCAACTGGAAGGAGTTTGAAGCAGGTAAACCAAGGTTTCAAAAAGTTCAAATTTAAGTCAACTAAAAATATTTCAACCATACTGCTTAGTGGGGGGGGGATCAATTTGGCGATATATTGTGATTTTCAGTTGCCCAATATATTATTGAACTTTCAGTTCCTAATATTGATTAAAAAAATATTTACCTAAAATCAATGAGGGGAAAATGGGCTACCTCTGCACCTACCCTGCACCACCTCTAAGAGTAGATAGTTCCTTAGAGCCCTTTTGTTTTGCTGGGCAGCTCCATTTTCCAAAACTTGCTTTTTTTCCATCAATACATTTCATTTTGATAGTTGGGGAAAATATTGCAATAAATATACAGCGATATTGCAATATCATGATATCGTATTGTGACCCAAGTATTGTTACATGTATTGTATCGCAACACACATGCCAATACTCACCCCTAGTGTTCAGCCTGTTTTAAGTCCCCTTAAGGAAGTCTTACACAAGAACAGCTTTATTCCAAATGGTGTTAAATCAAAAATTCTACACAAAATACCACTTTATAAAAATGTGGGTGGGAAAAAGTTTTGAGATTGTTGTAGATTTAATAAGCTTAAGAACCTGTGAAATTCTACTTAGGATGATGTGCTAAAGTGCCCGTTTCCACTGGTCATCCTTGTGATGTTTCTACTGCTGAAATGAAGTCTGTTTAAGCTATAGAAATATCTCAAGACAAAGATTTTTTGCCATTATTAGCATAACTACTAATAAATAATACATTAAGTAAACTTATTCATTGCAGGGCCAGGTTGGAGTTGAAAGGCTTAACATTTTAGCCTTTTCATTTTCTCCTTTTTCCCCCCAGAAGGGGAGAAAATTTCACACATGTAAACAGATGATAGCTTATCCTCACCTAACTTTTGCAGAAACTGAAGCGTTAAAATGCCTTTGAAATACCTCAATCATCTAAGATTTAGACTATGGGAGGCTTAAAATCATAAGTAGCATCAGCCAACTTTAGCTAATATCAGGGCTCATCAACATCCTTAGACAATTCCCTCTAAAACAAGCTTCTGTATTTTGACAAAAAAATTTGCAAAGATTGTTCGATGGTATTTGCATATTAAATATTAGATAAACAAGAACAACTGCTTTGATTCTCAGGGCAATTAACACTCCTGGTTTTGTCCAGGGATTGGTAAGAGTGAGAAAAGTCAAATCTTCAGAGCAGTTTGCTGCTAAACAGAGATGTTCAGACCCGGCCTAACATTGTCATGCAGTTACAAAAGAATGTTTCTAGGGCAGTATTGCTCCAGTGTTGCACAAAGCTCAAAGAAAAAGGAAAAAGTCTGTCTCATGGCGTTTCTGTTGCCATCTCTGTCTTAAAATTTATTTGTGTGCCTCCACCTCTTCATTATTTCATATAGCCCAGCGAGACCTTTTCAAACCATTTCATCTCTGGAGACGGTTTTTAGAATGTCGTCTTTAATCTCAGAATATTGCAAAAGTTAGACATATCTTTTCCAGGGGCGATGCTCTTCTTCTCAAATGTACTGCTATTTCTTCACATTCTCTTTGCTAACTTTTGCTGCAATGACCCAGCTCACATATTCACTGCAAGCCAACTGCTCCAGGGTCAAGATAAACCATAGTGAGATCAATATTTCTAACTGGGCCAGGTTACTGTTCTTTGTTCTGTTTCAGGGTCTGGGATGGGTTCACATGGGCTGCTCTGGGATTGTAAAAAAGCAGTCCAAATGTTTCATGTGAAAGTAACATCAGCTACCAGGTAAACCATAATGAAGGTAAGGAGGGGCTGTGTCTGTAGAGCTAAGAGGTAAAGTTGGGTCCATAATTTGGCAAGTTGTTTTGTTTTTGACACAAATAGGTTTCTTCACAAGCTTCATTCTTAGCACCCACTTTTCACCCGCTTTGAGTCTTACAGACTTAGACAAATTTTATTGTAATTTTGTATACACACAATTAAAGGAATAGTACACCCAAAACATGATTAGCCTTCATTTTCTACTCACCCCCATGCTGAACAACACCCTGGAGTACTTTTTTGATATCTCAAATGCATCTGGAGATCTGGGAGGCTTCTTGCTGTCTGCTGACATTCAAATAATGGAGGTCTATGGTGCCCGAGAAAGAAAGGTCCATAAAAGTCCACAAAAAACGTGTCAATATTCCTCCATACTGCTCGTCCAATGTATTCCAAGTGTCCTGAGTGGGTAGCGTCCATAATTTACTCGAAACGAAGTAATTTAGAATGTTTTTAGAGCATAAACAGTAGTGTATAGGATTTCCTGAAAGCGCGCGCCTGCGAGTTCACGACGCTACGGAAACCGGGGCAGACCAAACCAGATGAAAGTGCGCATGACTTCATTTCGAGTAAATTCTGGATGCTACCCACTCAGGACACTTGGAATACATTGGACGAGCAGGATTGACGAATATTGACACGTTTTTTGTGGACTTTTATGGACCTGTCTGCCTCGGGCACCATAGACCTCCATTATTTGAATGTCAGCAGACAGCAAGAAGCCTCCCAGATCTCCAGATGCATTTGAGATATCAAAAAAGTACTCCAGAGTGTTGTTCAGCATGGGGGTGAGTAGAAAATGAAGGCTAATCATGTTTTGGGTGTACTATTCCTTTAACACAGAACAAAATTTTGTTTTGTACAGCTTTCATAACATTTCCATTCCTTAAACTGCAGCAGTGGTCAAATGTAAACAGTGTGGGAGAAAAAAACAAGGTGCAAAAAAATGCATTGATATGGAAGTTCAGAGCATTAAATATGTATGGTGCAAATATGCAGAGTTTCAGTGATGAGGTTACAGGCTTGGGACACGCGGCGCTGGGAGGACTTCATGATAGGAGTCAGTAAGATAGGCCGGTAATCATTGAGTGAGGTGACCTGAGGCTTTTCTGAGACCTTCAGACTTAAAGCATGTTGGCACTATGGGTTGGTCAAGTGGGGTGTTAAATCTGTCTGTGAGACGACAGTGGGGTCCCAATTAGGGGTATAAATGATAATCGTTTTGTGTCGATGCATCGATCCAACAGCTGACGATCCGATGCATCGACACGTCCGCAAAAGAATCGATTCATGTTTTTTTTTTCCTCCGGTCTATTTTTATCCATTTGCTCCTGGGCGTAATTCTCCCTCCCGTGCTGCGGTGGCGCTAAAACTATTTTGCCGTCCTACCCCACTTCCTGGTTATACTCCTGCACCAGTGTGTTGCATTAAGCTTGACACAGACATTTTTAAATTATGCTCAATATGGAAGCATGCTCTGTGCTACATGCTGTCGGTCTAGATACGGCCGAGGCGGCGAGGAGGTGGGGGCGAGTTTAGACTGACGACGGAGGGACATGAGGGCCAAAAAGAGCGGAGATCCAGGTGGAAAAAGGGTCCCAGCATTCTCGCGCACCTCACTCTTCTAGCGGGTCAAACTTCACGAGTTGTTTTCCGCAATTTCGGTCATAAAAACAAAACAAGCTGGCCTCCTGTCTGCGGCACTGTTTGCGGTCAGCTACAATTTGGGAGAGGTGCAGCGGAGCGTCTGTGGAGGGGGCGGGGACGTCTGGAGCCGAGGTATTGCATTGCACTCATTGCACTGATTATGTGCAGTATTTTTTGATGCAACTTTTCTACTTCTGTTATGTGCTGTTGTTTCTAAAAAAAAAAAAATGCATAACGATATTACAGCTTTCATTGATTTATTTCAAACTTGAAACTTTGTTTAGCCTGTAAGGTGTAAGTAAAAAAAAATAAATTAATTAAAAAAATAAAATAAAATTAACCGATTAATTGAATCGAATCGCATCGTGGTGTATTCTTGAGTATCGAAAATAATTAAATCGTTGGATCAGGAAATCGATACTGAATCGAATCGCCATGATGGATGTGATTTACACCCCTAGTCCCAATATAAAAGGAAAAAATACTGTTCCATTGGCATCTACTCCATCAATGAGTTAGGACTCAAAAAGCCAACATATTCACAATAGAATCAAGAATGCATATGGATATTTCTTTTGGCTAAGTGGTGTAAATCCAGAAACTGAAAAGGAATAAAACCACAAAGTTTTTATATATTTGAGCTTTTATATGGAATAACAAACTGCAAGGAAAGAAAACAACAAATCATGGAAGGTATTTAAACAAATTTAGGTAAAAGTGACAGTTAAATGTAAAGACATAGATTTGCAGCATACTTATACACAGGTTAACTTACCATAATGTAATGGCGCTGCATCTCTGACTTCTCACTCGCCAACTTGTCACATTCGAGCTTCAAACTGGGGAAAGAGAGAGGGACAAAATCTGAGCTCCATGTTCAGCTTGGCAGTCCTTCATCTAAAGTGCAGACACCAGGTATCTTTTAAACCACCTTCATCATCACTAGCCATTTCATTTTCTTTCACCACTGTCATTACTTTCATCACCAAATCCCTCTCCTTGGTTTTCATCATTACCAGTGCATTTTCATCATCTTCTTCACCCAAATAATCCACATCAACTTTGCCACTTAGATCACCATCATCATTCCCTTTGGAAGCCAGTAGGAGCCTTTCATTGAGTTTGACAGGTGCTGATTGGCAGAACCGGGTTCAACTAGTTCTGGTTTGAAATCTAGAGTCTAGCTCAGATGTTTATTTCCTCGTGCAGAGAAGAGCTGATTAGGTAAAACATCTTGGAGGAGTGCTACAGTATTTCCTGTAACCCGAACCCAGTGACGGCCATTAGCTGCAATCAAGTCAGTGTTGTTGTCATATGAGGCACTGTGACAAAGGGGAGCGTGTCAACAAGTCAGCCACACTGTCAAATAAAAACAGTCCCTTCACTGTTTTTGACTGAAAAACCTGCCAGTCTTTAGAGGCTGTCATCTATTCTAAATTATCTGCAAGGCTTAACCAAATATGCTGAGAGATGGTGGAAATGTTTAGATTGTAGATATGTCTGCAAGCTGCTTGATGGTGTGTATATTTATGCTGGGATGTTCTTCTCAGCTGTCTACACGAGTGACAGCTCGATTACAGGGAGCGCTGGCTGAGTCATAAATAGTCTTAACTGGCAGACTGAACATCGTGTTGCACTCAGCCAATGATGTGAGCTCACTCATCCACAATACACTGTGCTCTGTCTATAATAACCACACAGATCTCTGCTTTCCAGATTAAATCAACTGCTCATTCTTTTTTTCTGAATTCAGATACATGACATTTATACAATAAAAACGATTTCTTTCTGTAAAATTTTTTATTTATAAAAATATATCACGTTTTCTTTACTTCTTTGACTTGACATTACACTCACTTGTTTAGTGACATGTATTATATTGTTTAATTTCTAACCATATAATAACAGGAGTGTGTTTTTCTATGTAATAAAAAGCCAATAAGGTAGGGAGTGCCTTAGGAGTTAGAACAATTCAATCCAGTATGCATTGAATCATTGTAATGTAAATGGCTGCTTTTATTTCTTTACATGTGTTGTTGGCAGCTCCACGTCAAGTCTGTTCATGCCTTGGTTTTCCTTGTCGATTGAACTGTGAGTGATTTTTCTGACAATCACTCAAACACTATAATAGGAGTAAAATCTGTCTTTTTTTAAGTTACCTAGTTTGAGGCAAATTCTGTCTGAGAAAAACACACAAGTAAGGAAAATAAATATTTGAACACCCTGCTATTTTGAAAGTTCTCCTGCTTCAAAATCATGGAGAAGTCTGAAATTTGTCATCGTAGGTGCATGTCTACTGTGACAGACACAATCTAAAAAAAGAAAAAGAAAAAAAAATGCATAAATCACAATATATTAATTTTTTTTACTATTTGCATGATACAGCTGCAAATAAGTATTTGAACACCTGTCTATCAGCTATAATTCTGAACCTCAAAGACGTGTTAGTCGGCCTTCAAAATGTCCACCTCCACTCCAATTAGTATCCTAAATTAGATTCACCTGTTTGATTTCATTAGCTGCATAAAGACACCTGTCTACCCCGTACAATCAGTAAGAATACAAAAACAAAGAAAAATAATTTTAATAAAATTCAAATGTGGCTAAGTGACTACTGTTCAACATAGATAAAATGTTGATTTGAAGATCACCCCATGCCATGGCAGACAACTCTCTAAGCAATATTAAAATAGGGACTGGATTAACCTTTCTATCAAGTACGCTTATTCCTTTTTGCCTTTTTGAGTGCATAAATGAGCAGTGTCCACTATCCCAAAATGTTGCTTTTGACACCTACATAAAAATCTTTCTGCTATTCTAGCTTATACGCACAGGCCATATAACAAGTTGTCATGACAACTGGCTGCCAACCTACCATGGATTGGCTCGGTGCCTTCTCTGATTGCCGCTGAGCAGCCCCAGGGTCTGCAACGGCGTTCTCAAACGACACTTTGATTGAGTTTTATTGCCGTTTCTTCCGTCTCTAAATCGCCCCTGCTGTCATCTTTATTTTGATTTATGTTTTCCCTGATCTATTTATGCATGTGAAATCGGGGGAGAAGAGAGAGGGTGGGAGGTATTCGGGTGGGGGGAGAGAAAGACAAAAAACGCTACAACGCTTCTTACCATACCCAGGGGAACACCTCCGGTACATTTACCTTTAAGTCTTCAGGAGCAGAGGAGCAAAGCGCAGCAGCACAACGTTACAAAGCTTCGTTTGTGGCTCCCCAGACCCCCCACCCCAACCCTGCTCCTGAGTCAAAAGGCAGTGCATGTTGTGTATGCTCAGACAAAAGAGGTATTCTTTCAACTGCACTCTGACTCTCTAAAGAGGGTTAAACGGCGCTGCTCGCTGTTATGGGAATAACAAAAGCAAAGGCATAGTAGAAGATACAAAGGGCGTTATTGCAGCCTCAGAAACCTGCGCATATAAGAGTGATGAGAAACCAGCAGGAATTTTACACAGAATACGTAGAGCTTTTATGTGTCTCTGAGTGACTGTTCCTGGCAGAGCCAAGCCTCTGGAAGCATCTGGGAGTACAGGTACACAGGAACAAACCAACCTGTTCCGGAAGAAAGATGAGCTTCAAAGCTTCTTTTTCTGACAGAGTTGATTTCTTACCGAGATGTGGCCCCTGTGGTACACTTGAACAGCTATCAAACAGATGAATGAAGGTCAGGACTTTAGAGGAATCTTATACCTCTGGAAACGTAGCAGTATTTAAGCAGTGCAGAGAGATCAGTAGGCAGGGGAAAACTAGCCTGATTTAGGTGTGAATGAGTCAAAAGTGTTTCCTAAGAAATCCCTGCAGCAGAGAAGCTGTATTCCCGTTCCTTTTAAAACTTGTTAACACTTTGAGCTTTTAATACATTTTATCATAGTAAGTTTACCAGTTCGACTCACCTCTTAGTGCAAGTAGACTCTCAAATATCTAACTTAAACCATCACACAGGTAAGATGGAAAACATTGGCCATCCTGTTTAAGGGTATAACCTCCCCTTTCCTTACACAGATCAATCCTATTGAGAGGCAAGGTCTCATTTACAAGAGAACGTGCATCCCTGTCTATGTATGTTCAACCTATATCAAGGATTATATCTAGATTTGTATCGGTCAATGGTTGAAAATAACTACTTGATCATTTATATAGTAACACTCATGCAAAGGTAGATGTTCAAGGAATCAAATTTCATTGAGAGCTGCAGACCATTTCATCCAGACGAGGCTCTGGTTACAAAGCTTTTTTATAACATGTAACCTTTTAGGATTTTTCCTCTTAAAAGAATCAGAATTAAAGCGAGAAATCAGAATCCAAACCAGAATCATTCAACTTCAAACCATGTCTAACCCTCAGTGTATTTAAATAAAGGGGAGTCCACCAGGAAAAGTTTGGAAACTAGTGGCCTAATTTAACTAATTTTCTAACCAAATCCTTAAATAGGCAGAGTGAATATATTAATATTACCATTTTCAATTTAATTTACAATCTGTTTGAGGGCAAAAACACAACTTTTCTTTTGATGTAATTGAAAATAAATTCAAGCAGCAAGGAGAGCAAGATTACCCAAGCATGATGCTGCCATTACCATGTTTTACTTTAGGTTTCATATTTGTATTATAGATACGTAGATCAACATGGGGGTTGTTCCTGTAGCTGTAACACAATCTCCAGGTCCGTTCTGAAGGAGCTGCAAAGCCGGCAAGTAACTATGATAGGTTTTGTTTTTTTTTGTTTGTTTTTTTATTTCGTCCATCAGGTTTGATCTGGACACATTTCAAGATGGAGGAACAAAAAAGGAGAAAACGTATGCATTTCCTACTGTAGCTTGATTTTGTATGTTTACTTAGAGGGTTTTATTACAGAAAACAAAGAGTACCAGCAACTTGATTCAGACCAGGTAGATTTGATATCAAGTAATGTTCAAACTTGATCAAATCACAAACAAATAATATCTATATCAAATGACAACATTATAGCCACAGAGCACCTTTAAAATGTTTTATAATATAATAAAATAAAAAAAAACCTATATCTCTAAAGCTGGTGTATGTGTCATAAGTCTAAACGTTTATGTGAATGTGGTTACCTGTGGTACTGTGCTTGAAGAAACTGGAACTCATCCTTGATTCTGTCACAGGAGTCAGAGGTCGTAAACTTCAGCTGCTGCGATGAGGCCTGCCAAAAACAAAGACGTGAGGTCAATTGTGAGACAAATAATGCAAGAAGCTGCTGCAGAAAACTGTCCTTACCACTAGGGATGTCCCGATCCCATATTAATATCAGATATCAGTCTGATATCAGGCCAAAAACTGATATTGGTTTTTTTTTGGCTGGCATGGATCAGTTGCATTCATACATACATTTTGTTGTTGACTTTTGTTAAACGTTTTATTAATATTGCTTGATCAAGTCTACATCCACCTTCTAACAGTATAAAATTAGTAAGTGAAGCTGGTATGACACATACCAGTATCGTATCGGATCAATATCGATATCGGCAAATTATCTAAGCCACAACACCGGCCTCGGATCTGAAATGAAGAAGCTGGGGAGTAGTGGTGAGGGCATAGAGCTTGAAATCCTGAGGTTCTGATTTCGAGCCCCACTCCCACAGACTGCCACTTTGTGTCTCTGAGCAAGACTCTTAACCCCACACTGCTCCCTGGGCGCCCAACGATGGCAGCCCACTGCTCCCCAAGGAGATGGGTAAAATGCAGAGGTAAATTTCTCCAAAGTGAGATCATAAAAGTTCAATTATTATTAATCCACACAACCACTAAAATTCACAAAGTCCTTTTAATACCTAAATATTGTTGGTGTTTTTAATCACAAAGATTCAATATGCTTAAGATTTGTTGGTTTGAACCCAAATGGCACCTTTGCGATTCCAAAAACATCAAGCATAGCAAATAAAACATACAAGGACCAGTTGTTTTTTCTGTCACTTTATAAATGAATAAAACCTACAATTTAAAATCCAGTTTAAGTGAAAAAAGACTAATGTAAAGAACAAGGAGAGCAAGTAAGATGGTAATTTAGCCAGATCAATTATATTATTTAGTTACCAGACTCCTCATGCAATTACAGCTTCATTACTTCTGGATATTTCAAACCATATACAATCCGACTCGTTATCTGTCACTCTAAACACGTTGCAGCTTAATCTTGGATATCATACACAGTCTCAGCCTCACAGTGAGTTACATCAACATCAATCACTTATCCTGGATGCAGCTCTTAACCCTTATTGTAATTCTGTTCACACCACAAATTCCAGGCAGCAGTGGCTGCAAAGAGCACAGCAAACACAAGATGCTCAGACTAAATCTCAACATTTTTTAGTAAATTGCATAATGGTTCACGTGATTGGGAAAAACTGTCTTTATAATAACTAAGTCATAATAAACACAGTTTTTTGATGTTGCTAAAATTTTATATAAATTCTGAATAATTTCCAGCTGTATCTAATAATCCTTTACTAATAAATGTATTTAAGTTTTCAATGTACAGAAAATATTGTTTCTATTGTGGCTATCCAACTTACATTTTCATTTGGGAAATTTAATTATACTTAGGGTTTTAACTTAACAATGACTGCTGTGACAAACACTGACCTGAGCCATTAGTCCTTTAAATGCCATGGAAGGAGATAATATTACCAGGCTGACCCCACACAAGGAAAGCCTCCATTCCATGCAAAGCAAAGCGTTGCTTGGAGACAAAGGTTTCTCCTGTTCAGCAGGAAAACCTGTTCCATTATCTCTAAAGCCATTAATGCTTGGACTAAATTCAACAAACAACAACTCAGCTATATGGGTCTTTGCCACACAGGGCCCGTATCAACAAAATGTACTTAGCAACACAGGTGCACCCTCAAAACAGTGCTGAGATGGTGCTCATTTGAGGTGTGCATGTGTGGGTTCAGTTTGTTTATTTTGCCAATGGTAAGTACTAATGCTCAAGATCTGATTTCCTCACTATGTAAGGGAGTAAATGAAGGTTTTAAATATCAAAATTTTAGTTAAATGCCTAGGTAGTTGGGGCTAGCAGGGAGATAAAGGCGAAGGTAAATAAATCCAAAAGAGAAGCAAAGAAAAAAAAAAGCACAAGAGACAAAAAAATAGGAAATAATAAAATAAAGGACTAAAATGCATTATATTTTAACAAAAATTTGTATTCCTTCTTTTTGGATTAGCCATTTGAAGATATAAACTTGTCTGCCCACTTCCTTTGAAATCTATTTAAGAAATTGTTTAGGACACAATATGACTTCCGAGGTGGAGCAACATGACTTTTGTTAAAAGATCACCCGCAATTGATCAACAGAGTTGTTCAGAAAAACAACAACAAATAATCTTCAGATTTTGTCCAATCATTTATAGCAAATATTAAACCTGCCATTAAAACTAACTTACCACGACTGAATTACAACGGTTTGTAGCTTCTCTGTCCAAGCCTTTCATATCATCTGTAAAACGTTGCTTCATGTTGGAAAGAAATGCCATTTCCACTTCTAAGGCACCTTTCATCTATCCTGCCAACACTTCCTTTACACTTTCAGATTGGTGCATCTAATTGACTACATCCCTATCCCTTAAGGGCAAAAGGTGCAAAGGATATGTTTCCCCATGTGGGATGAGTAGTTTCCAGTAAGTCCAACCAGATCAAAAAGTCTGGTTGGCAATGGACAACATCTGGTTGCTTGGAGTGTATAGATAAATGTTACACTTGACTTCCCAGCTTAAGAAAAAACAAAAAACAAACTAGCAAGTCAAAGCTATGGACCAAAATTGTATTATTTATCTAAAACAACAAGCTAGGTCTGGACAATTAATCTATTTTATTGCCATAAACGAGAATTATAGAGTTGGCACAAAATGTAATATGCTGTAGTGTTTTTCAATATAAACATTGATGTACCAGAATGTATTGTTTTCATCATATGTAGGACTAAATGCAGCTACAGAGGGAAGCATAGCTTCAGTTCCCTAGAGAGCAATAAAAACCCTATTATGTTATTTTCTGCAGGTTCAAGCAGTAGACCAATGGCCGACTGGCAAGCAAAAAATGTGAGAGTAGTTCTATACAAAATGAACATTCAGAATAATTTGTTTTAATGGAGGAATGTGTCTGTGGAATAACTTCTTGGTTTATTAAGATATGGCTTAACAGTTAAAGTACTCAGAAATGTTATTTGCTTTATTGACCAATCTCCTGTCGATAGCCTTAAGCCTACAGCTCATTGAGTGATCAAGGTTCATTCCTCAGCTCTGATCAGTCCAAAGCAGTGGACGTTGAACTCTGTTACAATTCAGTAAAATTATATCAAACAGTTATTGTTTGGCTTTTTTCAGCGTTTAATTTGTTAATGGTTATGGTAATGTTTGAAATGTATGAGCAGCTGCATAATGAGTTTTATTCAACTTCATTGTACAGCTAGAGCGATGGAGGGTATATTTAAAAGTAAAACTTTTGCCATTGTTGATCGCTGATGCTCTTAAACATTTCCTTATGAAAGTTTCAATCCAACTGAAATTTGAACTTTAACAAAAGTTTTTAAAGTTCAAATAAAAGGAAATGTAACTTTATGGTTTTTCTATTTGGTTTAAAGGAAATTAAACAAGCACTCAAAACCTAATGTCCTCATACGTCATCATGCCTCGATGTCATAAACGGAGTACAGGCTGCAATATGGCACAGACAGCAGATCAGTAACAGAGGAAAGTTTTAATGAACGCGTTGCCATGGAGCAAGTTGTTCTTACGTTAACATGTCAGCTAGTAATGGCGATGTTGCTTCCAGTCATGTTGACATGCATAGTAGGAACATCTGGGAAGACGGTGATAGCAGAAACAGCTGTTCAGTCATGTTAGGTAAAAGTCTTCTACATCAGAGCCGATTACAAAATATATAAATTTTCCTCACCATTTTTCAGAAGAGCCTAACAGTCACCTCAAGGGAACGTAAAAACTTTTTCACATATGAGTTTTTTGTTTGTTTTTTTCAAATTTTGCCGTTTCCATTCCGCTTTTATGATGCAATACTTCAGAATTTACACTAGAAAATTTTAAGAGATGCACCTACTGTGATTTAAATCAATGAAAAAAGGTGTTTTTAAAGGCTTGAAGGTCAACATATTTTGTTTTAAATACAATTTTAATATTAAAAACAATTTTGTTATTAATATTAAGAATAAATTAAACCAGTTACTTTCTAAAGGTAATGAATAAAGGGTTTGTAGACTTGAACAAGGGAGTTTTTTTTATTTTTTATTGATTAGATGACTTATAAAATGATCCTCAGTTTCAGCCCCATTAGAAAACTTGAAAATTCAATATATTCACTTTAGAGATCTAGTAGTGGTAAATGTGCACCTTAATAAAACAGCACAATCTTTCTAGTTAAAGTGAAGCCTGTCCTGAGAAACGTTATGAATTTGCTGTCAACATATGAATGGGTACTGTAACGTAAACGTAAGATGTAATTATGGAATACAAGTATGAAAGCAGGAGCTCTAACTAATGATCAGTGTTTGGTTCACTCATACTGTTAAGTAAGAAAGGAGGAAGTGCTCTACCTTCCCTGCTGAGTCAGTCTGTTAATAAAGACTAGTGGTTGAGCTGCTTGAAAACAGTCCATTTAAAAGCCTTAAAGAAGCCTCCACAACTTGAATAATGATAATCTTTTTATCACACTGGGTATCAGGGAGAAAGGAAAATAATAGGGACAGAGCAGATGATTACCTGCAAACAGTTTAAAAGCACCAAGATCTTTTGCTGCTGAGAACACTATAATGAACATCTACTTCCTGCTATCTATAGACATTATGTAAAGAAGGGACCATTCACAATCATCTTCATGAGGACCATCTTACACCTGGTTTGTGATGGCCTTTTTTCCCCCATCTTGAATGAAGAACAGAACATTGATGAATTCCAGAGGGAATGTTTAATGACTGGAGCTCAACAATTAGGAATGCTTTCACTAATGCTAATGATTTTTTTAGTGTTTTTATGTATCTGCTCCATTTTCTAAAACCCCTGTTGGTTGTGGTAGATAAACCATTCCCAATAAGCTGGGTTCTGCTGGAGGTCTCTGTTAGGGATGGAACGGTTTATGAAAACCCTCCGAATCGTTCGGTTCGACTGTCTCGGTTCGATTTGCGTGTGTTTCGT